GGCCGCTTAGGTAGGCTTGGAAGGGTGGCATTTAGCATTGTGGCAATAGTGCTCCAACCATGAATACATAGTATTACTGAATACAGAGCAGTTACGGAAATGTAACTCTGTAAACCAGTGTAGTGTAGTGGTTTGAATATTCGACTACAATTCTGGAGATCAGGGTTGAATTCCCTGCTCGGCCATGGAAACCCACTGGGTGACCATGGGTGAGTCACACACTCTCAGCCCAAGAAAATTCCATGATGGGATCATCTTAGGGTCACCATAAGTAATAAACAACTTGGAGGCACACAACTACCACAACAAACTCTACGTTACAAATCCATAACTGCAATACAGGATATTATTATTATTATTATTATTATTATTATTATTATTATTATTATTATTATTATTATTCAGTGCTGTGGGTGTTTAATCCATTTGTGAACTATCTATACTCTTTCACCTCTGGGTCATTCTTCCTCCTACATCGCTCAGTGCTAGCTGGTACTGCACCATTTGTCTGTTCCCTTTGAACCCAGCATTATCTTTGACCTCTCCATACATGCATGCAGCAAAGTTCCTGTTTCTTTTTTTGGGTTGGGAGCAAAGGACTCCTTTTCACAGGAAATGTAACCTCCCACATAAGCTGTATTGTGTGTGTGTGTGTGTGTGTGTGTGTGTGTGTGTGTGTTTTGGGGAATAGAGGGCCCGGGAAGTGGAGAGAAGGGGTTATTTTCAGAAAGGAGTCAGGTAATGGGTTTGTGGATATAGAAGGGAAAATGCAGGCCTGCATCTGTTTGAGGTCAAGCCCATGGACCAGCCATTTCCCCTGTAGACATCCAAAATGCCCAGCAAGAAGTTCCTACATGCAATGCGATTTCAATTCTGTTCACACTGCAGCACCTAAGCTAGGAGAAAACAAGTTCAGCCTTGGCCATGAGGCATACCCTATAAAACATCCATCAAACAGGCAGCAGGAAAATCCCAGCCTGACCCCATTCTATTCTTCTAAAAAGACACATTTCCTGTCCCTCCAGAACAAGAAGGGCCTGCCCTTGCAGGTGTATGGAAGGATGCAGCCTAATATGAGCAAGAAACAAGCAAAATGGGTTAACAGGAAAGAGGAAGGGAAAGAGGGAGGCATGCTGCCACAAGGTCCTGGGTCATAGAGCTGGAAGGGGGTCTCATGGAGTCCAACCTGCTGCTCAGTGCAGGATTTCCAGTTAAAGCATCCCCAGAGAACATAGCCATCCAGCCTCCTTTTGAAGATCTCCAGAGAAGGAGACCCCACCATCTCTTTAGGCAATTGATTCCATTGCTGAACAGCTCCTATTGTCAAGAAGTTCCTTCTAATGTTCAATCAAAATCTACTCTTGTTGTTCTCTTACTACTATGTTCCATTGTGATGGGTGTCTTCCCCAAGTATGGGATAGTGATTCCATTCTGAATTCTAGATTTTAAAGAGGTTATCCCAGGTGTTATCCCTAACCCAAAATGGGTTCAGAACCTTTAGCACCTGTAAAGTTCAGACTATAACCAGGAATGGGTTCACCATCCCATTGATGGGCCACCAGTGACTGCTATTTCAAGGAGCTAGTTTATTTATCCTATTTATGGAAATACCTGTATCCCACCCTACACTGAGGGATCTCAAGGTAGTGTACAATAAAACCCATTTAGCTGATTTAAAGCAATTTAAAACAGTAAAAAAAAAAAACTGAATAAACTAAGAGTTATTAAACAATTGGACAAGTTAAAAACCACTTAAATCAGATTAGGACAATTGAAAACATGTGTGCAGATTTGGCTCCAAAGGGATTATTAAAATACCATGCTTTTACTTGGCAATGAAATGATTGGTGCCAACTGTGACTTTAAGGGAAAGGCACTTCACAGTGGAGGTGTGACACCAGTGAAGGTCCTCTCCCACACCTTCCCAAAGTGCATTGCACACCCAAGTGGGACACAGAGGAGGGCCCCTCCAGCAGACATTCACCCTATGTCATTCAATACTAAAGTCAGGATTGTCCATGCCATCCCATTTCCAATTTCTGTCTATGGTTGTACAAGCTGGACAGTGAGGAAAGCTGATAGGAAGAGAATCAACTCATTTGAAATGTGCTGCAGGAGAATAATTCTGTGGGTACCATTGTTGTTGGGTGCCTTCAACTTGTTTCCAAATTATAGTGATCCTAAAATGTAATGGGGGTTTCTTGGCCAGATTTGATCAGAAGCGGGTTGCTATTTTCTTCCTCTGAGACTGAGATAATGTGACCTGCCAAGATCACCAAGTGGGTTTCCATGGATGACCAGTGATTCAAATCCTGGTCTTCAGGGCTATAGTCCAACACTCAAACCACAGGTACCATGGACTGCCCAAAAGACAAATAAATGAGTCTTAGATCAAATCAAGCTGGAACCATTCCTAGAAGAGAATGCATTCCTATCGCATTATGTCATAAACTGGCTTACCTGAGCCGGCTTAACATTAGAAGTGGGCAGCATCCTGATAGTATCAGATGCATTTAGCTGCCAAAATGGCCACTCAGCTGCAACCCAGCTCCATCGCTGCTCCAAGGGGCACTCCTTGTGCCTCTTTTCAAAGCCAGAAAACTCCTAGCCGATGGAGCCAGGCTGCACCCAGGCGGCAATTTCAGTTGTTAAATGCATCTGATACTATCAGGATGTCGCCCGCTTCTAAAGTTAAGCCAGCTCAGGTAAGCCGGTTTATAACATAATGCGATAGTCTCCCTAGAAGCCAGGATGACCAAGCTGCAACTGTCATGCTTTAGACATACTATGGGAAGACATGACTCACTAGAAAAGACAACAATGCTTGGCAAGGTAGAAGGCATCAGGAAAAGAGGAAGAATGCATCACAGTTGGATAGACTCAGCCAGAGCCCTGAATTTGCAAGGCATGAGTAGGGTTGTTGATAAAAGGGTGACTTGGAGGTCTCTCATTCATAGGGTCTTCATGAGTCAAAGACCACTGGATGGCAATTAATAACAATGCATTTATAGGGAGGCCCCAGATTCAGTTGCTGGTGCTGCTCTGTAGTCTCACTAATGTCTTAAGGCAGCATCCTGTGTTCCGGACAGAGCTAGTTTTCTTTTGGACCCTCAGGATTTTCTGGTTTCCCATGCAATTCTGGGAGGGTAGTCTAAACAGGAAACTTTCTCAGTCTCAGCTTCCAGCCTGGGAGAAATCCCCTCTAAGCCAGCTTACAGGATAGATATGGTTGATATATACACCAAAAGAAGTATAGTGTCTAGATTGAGGGAAGTAATTTGTTGTTGTTGTTAACTGCCCTCGAGTCATTCTGTTTTGGTCAGGCCTCAGCTAGAATACTGTGTCCAGTTCTGAGCGCCATTTCAAAAATGAGGAAGACGACTTGCCCTCTTGATCCTTGTCCGTCATGGCTGGCCATCCGGGGGGGGGGGGTTGCATTGAGGCTGCTCCTTAGGGACATCATCAACGCATCCCTCAGGGAACGTCACGTTCCACCTTGCTTGAAGGAAGCGGCGGTTAGGCCGCTTCTGAAAAAGCCTTCCCTGGACCCCCTGGATATGAACAACTACAGACTGGTCTTCTTACTACCTTTTTTAAGCAAAGTGATTGAGAGGGCGGTTACTCCTCAACTCCAAGCTGCCTTGGAGGAAACCAATTATCTAGACCAGGGGAAGGCAACCTTTTAAAGACCTGGGCCAGTCTCCCATAGCCCAGGTCTCGGCTGGGCCGAGGGGGGGGGAATGGCGGTGCGTGCGCTCTTGTATGCGCAAATGCATCGCAACTGCCATTTTGATTTCCAAAATGGCGGTCGCAGTGAGTGCGGCCGCAGAGCGGCAAAAATGCACCGTAGTGGCATACCGTGGCGGCAACCTTCGGCCTGGGTCGGTAAGTCCAGGGACTGGGGCCTTAACCAGCTCCCGGACCGTAGGTTGCCAGTCCCTGATCTAGACCCATTTCAAACTGACTTTAGGACAGGATTTGGAGTTGAGACTGCCATGGTTGCCTTGGCTGATGACCTTTGTCTGGGCATCAACAGAGGTAGTATGACCCTGCTGGTGCTCTTAGACCTCTCAGCAGCTTTTGACATAATAGATCACCACATCCTCTTGGATCGCCTGAGAGGGTTAGGAATCGGAGGCACTGTGTTGCAGTGGTTCTGTTCCTTTCTCTCGGGCAGATTCCAGAGGGTAAGGCTCGGGGACAGTTGCTACACTAGGAAGGAGCTTAATTGTGGAGTCCCACAAGGCGCCATTCTTTCCCCAATGTTGTTCAATATATATATGAAGCCGCTGGGAGAGATCATTCGGAGTCATGAGGCAGGGTGTTATCAGTACGCTGATGACACCCAAATATATTTCTTCATGTCTCAGTCATTGGCTATGACTTCAGATGGCATCTCTCCCCTTAATGATTGTCTTAAGGCAGTAATGGGCTGGATGAGGAAAAACAGATTGAGACTGAATCCAGATAAAACGGAGGTACTAACAGTAGCGGCCCCGAAACTAGGTATTGGGATATAACCTCCAGTCCTGGATGGGGTCACACTCTCTGTCAAAGACTGTTCGCAGTCTGGGGGTGCTCCTTGACTCCTCACTCCTGATGACAAATCAGGTAAATGCGACAGTCAGGAGCGCCTGTTATCAGCTTCGGCTGATACGCCAGCTGCGCCCTTTTCTGGAAGTAAGGGATCTTGAGACTGTGGTACATGTGCTGGTGACCTCTTGCTTGGACTTCTGCAATGCACTCTACATGGGGCTATCCTTGTGCTTGGTCCAGAAACTTCAATTAGTTCAGAATATGGCAGCCAGGTTGGTCTCTGGAACGTCTAGGAGAGACCATATATCACCTGTCTTAAAAAGACTTCACTGGCTGCTGATTAATTTCCGGGCCCAGTACAAGGTGTTGGTTATTACCTTTAAAGCCCTAAATGGCTTGGGTCCAAGCTATCTCAGGGATCACCTCCTTCCATACAATCCTCCCTGCGCTCTCCGGTCCTCTGGAAGGAATTTGCTTCAGCCTGTTAAAACTAGGCTGACGACAACCTCCCAGCGGACCTTTTTTTAAATAAAATAAAATAAAATAAATTTTATTAAACATACAATAAACAACAAAAACAACAAAAACAATATAAAACAAAAAGGACAAGACAAAACAATCTACATAGAACACATTTCATAATTTAAAA